AATGTTTATGTCCAAGATAAATGTTTAATTTACAAACTAAATATTTATTGTCCAAGCTAAATATTTCATTTCCAAACTACACATTTAATTTTTAAGCTCATTATTAAATTCCTGAACTAAACTGAATTAAATTTGCTAACTAAATATTTAGCTCAGACCTAAATATTTATTTTCCACACTAAGCATTTAATTTCCAAAAAATATTTTATTTGATAACTAAATATTTAACCTGCAAGTTAAAAATTTAGTTTGTAAATTTAACGTTTAGCTTGGACACAAACATTTAGTTTGTAAACCAAATATCTAGTGTGGAACAAAATATTTAGCTTGCTAATTAAATATTTAACTTGAAAGTTAAGTATTTAGTTTGTAAACTGACATTTATAAATGTATGAACAACATGGTGAAAATTTGACTTTGAAAAAAAAGCTATGTTTTAATCTTATGAAAGGTTAAATAAACCAAAATGCTGCTGTTAATTTTTGACTATATAATTTACAAACGGCACCCCATAGCCCTGTAGCTCAGGCTTACATATCAGTAAAAACATCTGTTTAAATGAGACGAGAAGGGTTAATCTTTACACGTCTGAACTGGCATTCTGATAACTTTTGTGGGTTTTTACACAATCACCGTTGAGGGTTTTATTTACCTTCCTAAATGTTTCAATTTACCGAGCAAATCAACTCTTATTTGCACATTCTCTACAGTTCTTGTACAGTTTACGCATCGACACATGGAAATGTTTCGTTTCACGGCTATAGGATTTATGGTTTAATGGAGACCCAGCAAAGTTAAGTCAGGTCCTCTGGATGGTTTCTTTATGTTGAAACGTTTCGTCTTTCATCCAAAGGACTTCATCATTCCAAGGCGCCACAACAAACGGTCCCATAAGTAGCACACTCGCATAGTGAGCCAACCGGTTTGATGGTGATAAGATGGTTTCTGGAGTCCACCCTCTCCTTAATTAAGGACTTTAACAATGGGATTAATGCTCAAATTAATGGGATTAATCTGTATAAATAAAGGTTGAATGAATCCTTAACTTTATTACCTGGATTATTAAGCATGAACTTTGATGATATAATGGAGAGCTCACACACCCAACCTTTCGTAGACTCCCATCGTATCTGAGCTCACGATTTTCTTGCCAAAAATTAAATATCCATTTAACTCGAAGATCCTTCATGAAACATTGTAAATGCATAAAAAAATAACACATTCAGGAGTTAATTTTAATTTAAACTTCAAGTTTTCACACAGCAACTGTTTGAGGCTTACTTTCTATAAGTTTGTTTTTGTCTACCTGTCATATTAGGAGTGAAATCAGGGAGTGAGAGACAGGCGTGTGTGGTTACCGAGGTTACTCAAATGACCCTCTAGCAGCAGCCTTTTATTTATTTTTTTAATCTTGGTCCTTTACGGTTTAAATATCAACATTTTGTTGTCTAAAAGTAAATCCTAAATTATTATGGTAACTAGAGGAATTGCATTTCCTGAGAAATTGTAGTGTGAATGCTTATTGCTTAAGAACTTGCTGAAAAACAGATGAAATAAGCTAAAAAAAACAAAAAAAAAAACAGGCTGAAATGTAGCTGAAAGGGAAGAACAAGCCTAAGTTAGCAGACGAAAGCAGAAAGAATCGATATTTTCTAAATTAGGTTTAAATAAACAGAAATTGGCTAAAAAGCTGAAATTAACAAAAAAAAAAACCCTGAAAAATAGCTGAAAAATAGCTGAAAAGGCAAAAAAGGTTAAACTACCAGAAGGAAGCGGAAGGAGCTGAAATTAGCAACAACAAAAAAAGAGGAATTAGCTGAAACAAATTAACATCAAAAGAGCTATTTTTTAAATCAAAAAGCTAAATAGTAGCTAAGATAGAAGCTGAAACTAGTAGAAAAAAGTGCAAAGGAGCATAACAAGCTGAAATTAGCATAAAGAAATTAATTAAGCTGAAAGTAGGCAAAATTAACATGAAAAACTTGAATTAATCTGAAATTAGCTAAAGAATGCTAAAAGGCTAGCTGAAAGTTTAGAACACACTTAAATTAGCAGAAAAAGCAGAAAAAGCACACGTTTGTCCAGTTAGGCTGAGCATAAAAAAGAGGAAATTATCTGAAAAGAGCTAAACTCGCTAAAAACAGCTGAGTAGTACCTAAAACAGCCAAAAGAAGCTTAATTTACCAGAAGGAAGTGGAGAGAGCACTTTTTTTTTTTTTTTTGCTGAATTAGGCTGAAAAAAGAAAAAAAAAATTATTTTTTAATTCTGGAATTAGCTGAAAAAGCTAAAATTAGGATAAAACAGCTAAATAGTAGCAGAGAGAGCAGAAAAGCTGAAACTTGCATAAAAAAAGCTGAAAGGAGCTTAACAAGCTGAAATTAGCAGCAAAAAGTTAGAAGATGCGCAAAATTGTTGTAGTTAGCAGAAACAAGCTGAAAGGATAAAAAAACAGCTGAAATTAGCTGAAAATAGCAACAAGAGTTTAAGTTTGCACAAAGAAGCTGAAAGCAGCTGAACCAGAACAAAATGTGGAAGGTGCAGTATAATGTTGGAAACGGATCAAAAGATTTTAAGGATGTAAAATAAGCTCAATTAATTTTGTATGAGAGAAAACATGGCTGAAAAGGCTAAATATTTCAAAAAGCTAAAGTTGCACCAATACCAAAAGTCATGGCAGGATTGTCCTGAAAGAGCCGAACGCTTTGATTTATGATTTGTTGAAATAGCACAAAAGTTGTGGAATGATTAAAAAGTAAAATGGATCACAACAGAGTGTTCACACTATGAGCGTTAATGGAAATAAAACCGGATGTTTGCTCCGTTTTCAACGTGAAGGTGAACTCGGAGTCCTCCGGTGAACTGAACCTGACCTCAGGTCCGTTCAGATGTCGTCAGAGCCGAACCATCATCCCAGACTTGTTTACTCGCCCGGCAGCAGATTTCATCATGGAGCTGAACTCGTTTGTTTTCAAACAAAACGATCAAAAAGCCAAACTGTTGATGAAAACTACCGTATCCTTTTTACCGTCCGGTTTTTCCCGTTTCTGCAGATAATTTCCAGGTGAAGGTTGATTTTTTTGCTGCGTTTGCAGACATCTTAATAGTTGGTCTTTGTCTCGTATTTTAAAGTGTCTTTTTCAGCAGATTTATTGTTTTACGCAACTTTTTTTCCTTCACGATAAAAAATATGCCCCTTGTTAAACTGTAAGCAACCAATACATAAAACGGAACCAAAAGGTCCGTACTATATTAAAAATATAATAAACCTAAAAGTTGTGTTCATGGTTCTGTCTAGGTTTGTTTTTCACCCCATCGTTTAATTTGCTTGATAGTTGTTTTTTTTGGTGAAATAATTTAGTTTTTATTTCTGACCGTCTCTTTTGCTTCATTTTCTGTGTTTTGTTTGTGAACTTTGATTTCTGATACGTTAAAGTTTTACTCAGCATAATCAACCTTTATTTATACAGGTAAATCCCATTGAGCCTCGAGGACTCATTTATTGGCGCATCTCATTGGCGCAGAGGTTAGAGAGGTGGGCTTGTGATCCAAAGATCGCCGGTTCACACCCCGGCCCCGACAACATCAAAATTGTGGGTGGGGTAGGTGAAACACCCACACTTGCCCCCACCCTCATTCGCCCCACTCTGGGCCCATGAGCAAGGCCCTTAACCCCCACCATGTGCTCCCTAAACAGGTCTCTCTTGAAAATGAGTTCTCGTGGCTCAATGAGACTAACCTGGATAAATAAAGGCTAAATGAAAAAAAAATGAAAAAATTTACAAGAGAGACCTGATTTCAACAAAGAACAATGGACAACAGCAACAACAATAAGCAGTTATAAAAACTCATACTAGTTTTTTTTTTTTTTTTTTTTTTTTTTTTAACAAATAGGATGGCTAAAAGGAAAAAGGTAACAAAACCAAAAAAAAACTGCTAGATTCCGAGACAAATGTATAAAACTAAAAACAGGAACATGTCTGCATTGGTCCCTGCCAGGAGTCCAACAGATTCTTAAAGCCACTTAGAGAGGTCAAGGTCGAGAGCTTCAAATCTTTTTGTAAGATATTCCAGGAAACAGGAGCGGAATAGGAGAAGGTCCTTTTGTCTAGTTCAGTCCTCACTGAGGGAACACTGCAGGTAATAATGTCCTGAGAGCGCACTCCGTAGCTGCACTCACGCAGAGACATGTAGGAGGAGATGTATGAAGGCAGCAGACCAAGAAGTGATTTAAAGATGAAAATATACCAGTGAGAGAGTCTGCGTGAAGTTAATGATGTCCAGTTAACCAGTGAATACTGGGTGCAGTGGTGGGTACGATAATCACAGCCAGTTATGAATCTTAGTGCACCATGATAGACAGCATCCAACATCTGCAGGGTTCTTGTAGGAGCGTTCATGTAAATAATATCACCAAAATCAATGGAGGGAAGGAAAGTCACAGATACAAGGCGTTTCCTAGCATTCAGGGTTAGACAGGATCTGTTTCTGAAAAAGAAACCCAGTTTAATTTTCAGTTTCTTTACCAAGTTTTCCACATGGAGCTTAAAAGAAAGATGTGAGTCGACCAAGATACCCTAATATTTATAGGAATCAACAAACTCAATGGGGACACCATTTGAGGATAAAATCGGAGGAAGAACTGCTGGGACCAACTTCCTATTTGAAAAAAGCATCCCTTTGGTTTTTTCGGCATTTAGGACAAGTTTGAGGTGAAACAAATCAGTCTGGATGATGTTAAATGCAGATTTCAGAAGCTGGAAAGCCTTAGCAACTGTTTTAGCTCGACAATAAACAACTGTGTCATCAGCATAGAAATGTATGGATGCATTAGGGATAAAGAGGTGATTGTTCAGCATTTAGTTATCAAATGTTTTGAATCAACAAAGTTAATCTAAAAAAAGGCAGTTTTTTTTTTTTTTTTTGGCATTTTAAGACTAAACAATAGATTTGTCAATAAACATTGCTGAACGTCAGCTGAAATCAGCTGAAGAAGCTGAAACCCAAAATTAACGCTATTAGAACAAAAGCTAAAACCAACAGAAGTGTAGCTAATAGCTCAATCCAATGAAATGGTATGTAAAAAACTAAAATTAGAGAGATATTAGTAGCAATAAACTAAAGGGAGAAAAAAAAAAAAAAAAAAAAAAGCTGAATGATCAAATAAGCGAAACAGTAGATATAAGCCAAAATTAAGTCGGGCAAATGCTAGGACCAGCAAAACTTTTGCTAAAATCTTAAATTAGCAAAACAGTTGCTACAATTTAAGATGAACAAAAAAGCAGCTTAAAGCTACAACTATCTGATTGACTTCTTTTTAGAACAATAACTAAAAGCTAAAGCCAGCAGAGCAAAAATTGGAAAACGGTAGAAATCAGCTACAACTATCAAAACAACAGCTGTAAGCTAAAAATGAAATGCTGAAGTAAATTCCAAAGAGCACAAAGTTTGTCAAAGATGTGACGAGAACTCAGTTTCTTTCTGAGAGAAACGGATTTCAAAACAAAATACTTAAACTATAACTGCTACGAGGCCTGTCGCGATAAACAATTAATCAATTAATCGCACGATAAATGAAAATTATCGACCTCATTTTCATTTATCGGCTTTATCGTTTCTTCATGTCTCTTTCTAATGAAGACACTGGATGACAAAAGGCTCAACTTCGGTGCTCTTCACTGACCCCGCCCTTTCTCTCGTCTCTTTTAAATTAGTTTTAAACGTCCAAAATAGCATTTTTGGATTGTTAAAAGCAGCTAAGCCGAGAAGCTAAGCTAACGGGTTGACCTCGGGGGAAAAAACCTCCATCTTATTGAAGCTCCAAAATTCACAGTTGAAACTTGTGCCGTTGTGTAAAAAGTTGTTTTTCCTCTGCAAAAAGAAGCTGAGAACTTGTTTACTGATTTTTTTTATTTTTTTATTAAAAGCTTTGTTTGACAAATGCTATGCTAAAGAGCTCAAACTACACCGAGCGTCTGCCATTTTGAGAACAGAATTAAGGAGAGAGAGACAGCCCATGTCACGTCAAGGGACCTCCCTCCCATTTTTTTTAAAGAGACACGCTGCTCACTCCCTCACTATCCATCCTTCGGTTCAGTCTTATGCTGCCATCCAGTGATCAAAAAAAGTACTACACTCAAAACAAATTAACCAAAATTCTCTTTAAATTTGACAATAATTACTAATTATTGTCAAATTTAAAACAATATTATCGTTTATCGCAATAAATTCTGAGACAATTTGCCCAGCAAAATTTATCGTGACGGGCCTAACTGTTACAAACGGCAAAATATATTGTCCAAATGTCCTCAAGTAGCTGAACGTTCTGATACCAGAATGGCTGAAACGGCTAAAAGTTTACTCAAGTAGCTTGAACGAGAAACTAAACGAGCTGACTCAGCATTCACATTTTTAAGCTGCAGATTAAGCTTTTCTAGACACTGCATGGAAATTCCTCCACATGTTAACTTTGATCTTGGTGTGTGTGTGTCTGTGTCCACCCTCAGGTTGGGCTGCGTCAGCAGGACATGTCTCTGCTGTGCCAGCTGTGGTCGCTCCACGAGTCCATCCAGGAGTACAAGGGCAGCTGCCACGACCTGAGCGCCGCCTCCAGCCTCAGCATGATGGAGAACGGCTACTTTGACGAGGACGACGAGTTCTACCCGGAGCCGGGGTCCACTCCCACCGGGGAGCAGCCGGACGGAGACGTCGAGGACGGGACGACGGTAGCGTCCAAGAACGGCAGCGGCAAAGACGACAGCTGGGACTCCTTCCACGTCACCATCTGAGGCCTCGCTCGGTGTTTTTCTGGACTCATACTTTGTGGTGGACGGACTGGCTTGAGGAAAAGTTCACGGCTTCAGAAACCTGTGAGAAGGGAGCGTCTGGTTGGAGACGGCAGCGTTTGCTTTGTTGTTTGAGCAGAGGTGAAAAGGTCCGGCCGAACCTCGAACTTTTCCTCAGGTGAAATAATCATCAGCTTGTGCTGCAGAATCTTATCAAACCGCCGAGACACGAGACTGAATGTTTCGTCAAATAAACTAAACTGGGAGACACAACTCTTTATCAACAGCTCTGCTGCGTCTGCCAGCCTGAACCTCTCCTTTTCTACACAAAATATATGAAAGTTATTTATTATATAATATAAACATCAGAAAAGTCTTTTTTTCTTCTTCTTGTAAACCCTAAACCAGAGTTTTGTTTTAACCGTTCATAACTTTTCAAAGGACAACACGAAGAACATTTTTGGACGAGTTGATTGAGACTAAGTAATAATTGTATTTAAACCAGCAGAGATGGACGAGATCTTATGAACAACCTGCGCTGTGATGAGCTCCTGCAAACTCTTTACGTTTTAAGTTCTGCATGTGGCACAGGAGTTCCTTCCATTTCAGTCATATCCACAATCAGAGGTTTAAATCACATTTCTTACAACCTGAGTGACGTTCTCGGCATCCTTCTCGTTCATGATAATGTTGGTCTCACCAATGTTGCGATCGAGACCTGGTTTGCATTCGCTAGCTGTAATGTTTTTTACATTTCTAAATGTATCAGAGGAGACGTCACTGTGGCCTTTGAATATTTCTAACAGGAACTTGGACAGGAAACGGGGTTTTTACTTGGATGCGTCCTCCATCCAGGTCCTAACAGATCTTGTCTTAGGACAATGCCCTCTAATGGGTCTAACAATAACTTAAGGTATGCCTAGACCTTTGGCTGAAGGGGACCAGCTTCCCTGTTTAAGTTTGAAGCCCCGCCCCCATTGGTCATTGACCTCGATTTAAAAAATGAAAACAACACACCAGATAAAGTTCATCAGGTCTCAGTGTTTCCTCTAGTTTACTTGCCTTGGCAGGGCGCTCGCGCTCATGTCTTCCATGATTTTTGTCGACCAGGGTGGGGGGTGTAGACGGAGACACGTCTGTGTTGCGCGCTGTTTGTGGGATGGGTGTGGAGACGGCTCAGCGTGAGGGAAACCAAACGCTACCTAGCTTTTTAGCTAGTGCATCTGTATTGCGCACAGCTAGCTAAACGCTACGTCAATTCTGGTAGTTGTTAGCCGTGGGGGAGACGGCTCAGCGTGAGGGAAACTGAGCGCTACCTAGCTTTTTAGCTAGCACATCTGTGTTTTGCGCACAGCTAGCTTAGCGCTACGTCTGTTCTGGCAGTTGGCGATGGGGTGCAGGACGTTCAGTTCTGTTGACGGGTGGGGCGCCCTGCTTGTATATTTGTAGAGGAAACACTGGGTCTTGTTGGTTTACGTAGTTCTTACGTTGCTGCTGGATTCTCAAGTATTCACTTCCCAACATGATCAGCTGTAATCCGTTATTTCATGCTTCAAAGAAAGCTCATGCGGCGCCATGATTGTGTGCGAAGGAGAAGGCGGGCTTAAAGCCCCACATTGCAAGCGCTCCGACTCTGGTCCACAAATCCAACATGGTAGCTTCTGTAAGCCTGGTCCTGCTGGCTTCAAGTCCCAACAACAGCACACAGGGCTTTGTCTCTTCAAGAAACTAGGTGCAGGGGTCTGCAACCTTTACCACAGAAGGAGCCATTTTTAACACCTTTTACTAAATATGTACATTAACTTGACCCTTCATATTAACAGTTGATGTATTTTTGTAGGTTTTAGGCAAAGAAATGGTGATTTAAACACAAATGGATTCATATTATTTTTGGTCATAAATGCACTTCAGAGAGGCTGAAGAACCACACGTGACCCCAGAGCCGCAGCTTGCAGACTCCTGCTCTAAATGATGTCATGCGCTCAATATCAGCTTGATGAGACATCTCGGAGGGGCTTTCCCTGCTGTAACTAACTTTCAGCATATCTTAATCTGTAGCAAGTCCTGGTTAAAGTATTTCTGATTTGGAAACATTTAATGGTGAAAGAAAACAGCACGAGTATCGTTTGTGATAAATCACCTGAACCAGCCTTATTTCAGGTGCTTAAACGTCTGTGGCAGTTCGTCTCATATTTGAATGTGCTGATCTCAATGTAGACACGGCGGAATGATTTGTTTTTATTTACCTGAGATTGTTTACTTCACATCTGTTTGGTGATGGATGTGCAGCACTCAGCATTATTTGGTTAAAGGTGCTGAAGTAAATGAATGAAATCTGAGGAATGTCTTCAAACGTTATTCTGCAGCTGCTGAATTTCACACAGTTCACTCAAAATGTCCTTCACGCTTTCAGCTAGCTGGCACGATTGTTCTTTGACGTGAAACTGCTTTTAAAATGTACTTATTGTGCATGAAAATGTTGGTAAAACTGTTATAAGAGCCTCAATATTCTATTTATTGGACTACACAAAATCATAAGTTTGAGTTTAAGTTGGAGCTGTAATAACGTGCCATGTGTAAAACCAGCAACACGCAATGTTCCTTTTGTTGGTCTATATTTGCAGTTTTGTGTTTTTAGGTTCAAAAGCACCATTTTCAAAGCTTCAATTTGTAAAAAAAACGATTCTGTTAAATCAATTTTAGTTGCTTCTTGTATATATATATATATATATAAAAAGGTTTACATTGAGCTCATTGATGATCCAGTGGTCCCAACAGTGGTCCTTGAGGAACACCATCATTTATGTTTTAGTTGTTTCCCTGCGTTGACACCTGGTTTGAATGAATGAGTGATTAACAGGCTTCTGCAGAACTTGAAGTAATTAAACCACTAAATCAGGTGTGTTGGAGCAGAGAAATGACTGAAACATGCAGGATGGTGTTCCTCAAGGACCAGGGTTAGGAACCACCAGATTGGACAACCTGTAGCTGGGCTGTTGTATGACCCTAGCTCTTTCGGCTGTTCCCGGAGCTAGTGTGAAAGTCAAGCAACCGACTGGGAAAAAATTACTTCACCTAAGAAGACTGATGTTGGAGACTAGTTGGTGTCTCAATGTTGACCTAGTTTTGCAAGAACATTAGCAAATTTTCAGTTGCCCTCTTGAATTCAAGCGCTATAACAACCTCCGGGACTCCAGCGAGGAAATTAGGAACCATTTCCGGACATTTTGTCAGCTCCGTGGTGGATGCTGTTCACTTATCACAGCCCAGTGTGATGCTGCCTTCACTGACTCGCAACGTGAGGAGGGGTTGAGTAAAACGAGTGCAACGTTCAGGGGAAACATTCGTGAGTGAAACAGGCAGCATGGCTTAGGCACAGTTGACCAAAAGACTTGTTTTACAGCTTGGATTATAGTTGCCATTTTCTTCTTAAACAAGATCAGGAAACTAATTTCCATCACCCACATGATGATGGAACCAACGATTTATTGACTCCAGGATTTATATCACACAGTTGGTGCCTTTGTAAACCTTCCTGTTTAAAGAACCAAAGCGTCGGCCATGTGCTTTGACTTGTGTCTGGTTTCAAAAGCTGCTGCGTGCAGAGTTTAAGACATAAACCTTTTAATCCCTGACTCGGAGTGGATTACATGCTTGTTTCAAAGATTAATTGTTGCTAAACAATTAATTGGTGCTGTGTGGTCGTTGTCGCAAATTCCCAGAATTGGCAGATTAATGGCTCGGATTAGAATAAAGGTTTCCGTTCTATTAAAAGCCGAGAGTGGTTTTTACCGTTCGGTCCGAGTTCTTTGACAAGTTATTGACGAAGCAGCTGCTGTCGGGCGTATTTTTAACTGGTCACATTTTTTAAATTTGAGTTGCTTCGCAGGAAGTTGGTCACTTTTAGCCACGCTTCTACGTTCGCAGCTTTAACGTGCAGCCTTTTAAACCAGTCGTATCAGGAACCGAAGCTCTTTTAATTTGGCTCGTTTTCATGTAAAACCTGCTCTGACTTGGTCTTTACTACACAGCCACGCCTCCTTGTATACCACTTGCTAACTGTCCTCACTTCTCAGTTTAAAATCGGCTCAGTTTAAAATAATCCCAGTTTTCACGATTTCTGGATGTATACTTTGGAGATGTCTCAGGGGAAACTCGAGAAATGTTCGGCTCTTGTGACCCATGGAGCCGTTCTGGTGCTTGATTATGTTTTCTGTTCAAATAATGTGCCCCCCCCCATGCACACACACACCCACCTACATAAAACAATTACAAGTTTTGAACCAACATAAGAGGTCCAGAGGTGAAGAAGACTCAGTAGACCAGAATGCAATGCCTGACGCGCTGATTCTTCCACAGCTCAGCATCAAGTATTACAGTTCATCTATATCACAAATAGAAATATATTAAGTCTATTTATATCTATATAATGTCAGTAATTTTATAATAGATGAATAAATATTACTGTGTATTCCTCATAATCTGTCATAAATCGATATAATGAAAGGAGTTGGTGTTAGGTAAATGTATCCAGAGAAAATGTTTGTTTGTGTTCTTTGATTGTTGGATGACCACAGTACTGTTTGTTTCGGCTTCAGTCTTGTTGTCTCTTACTTTTCCAACTGAGATGCATTTAATAAAACGACTCCAGACTTTTCAGCTCGACTGAGATGTTTGATATTCAGGGATGTGGGCGACAGATTCTGTCTCACGTTCCAGCTCAGGCAACGATAACCAGAATAAACGCGAGTGATTTAGTTGGTAAAGAGACGAATTTGTCCCCGAGTGGAAAAGTAACGGCCTCTTCAACGTAATGACTTGTGCTAACCTCGGATCAGGGCCGGGGTCCTCGTCCTGCTGCAGAACGCAAGTGAGCTTGAGCTCACGGTGACAAACCGACAGCCGGATGTTTTTGGTAGAGAGCCGAATCCATGGTTCCATTAATTACAAGAAGTGGTCCAGGTCCTGAAGCAGTACCAGACCACCACCGTTTGTGTCACACCAGGTCGCTCACCTCACCAGGCCACAGAATACTGTCCCAAAAGTCCTGGGGATCGTCAAGGTGGTTTGGACCTAAACTCTCCCATGGACGCCATTATTGTCTTTTATCCTTTTCTTATTGTTGAACCACGAACCTTAATGTTTTTCCATCGTCTGGTTTCATCATAATTTGGTTCTATACGATCTCTGTGGTTTCTTGTGCCGCCTTGATGTGGGCGATCGTCGTAGCACGACTGTCGTGAATTTGCCACCAATTGGTAAATCAGTAAAATAATCCCAAAGCGCTCACCGTCCTCTGCCACGTTTTCAAAAAATGCGGAGGCCAAGTCGAGACCACGTTCCCTTTGCTGGTTGGACCTCTGGGACCCTGTGTACATAATTTCGCTCCACCACATGTACCACATGAGGTGCGAATGACAATAAAGAAACTCTGACTCTGACTCGTGAATCAAGTCCATTTGGTCAAGCTTCTTCTGTCGTCAACCAACAAGCACAGCGAAGTGCACCTCCTCGTAGTACCAGTTATGCATTGCCGTTTTAAAGGATATATTTATTTAATAAAGTAAATAAATGCTGCGGTTGAGAAGCTTTAAAATGACGTCGCCCTCTGGACAATCACCTGCAGCCTGCGGACGACATTAAGTTTGACTCGGCTCGTCTGGATCCTCGGTTCATTAGGTTCTAAGAACCGAGCTGGAAGTGGGTTGGATCACCCAGTGGAAATCTGAACCCGGGCCGTGTTGAGCCACTTTAAAAAAAAAAAAGCCATTCGAGCGTTTTTTGGGAGCTGTCATGACATTTTGGAGTAGTTTTGATCAGTCAGACGCTCCAGAGAAGGTTCTGTTTCCTCTATATGTGGACGACTGCTCCATTTAAGTGATTTCATCATTCCACAGGTCTGGCACAGTGCAGGCCCAGGTGTGGTAAAACTAAATTCAGCGTTTCAGAACAAACTCGATTCACGATTTAAGAAGAAGTCATCCTTTTTCACCAGAGTAATCGGAGCAACGTTAAGTTAGTGTTCTCCATTTTAACGTCGGTCTGTGCAGCAAACTGTGACGTTTTATTCTGATGCAACAAATCAAATGCACTCGAGGCACAAAAATAAACTTGTTGGAAGTAAAAGAAACTGCAGCTCCTCTCTGCTGCCCTACTTCCTGCATGCATCTGACTTGCATTTTAATGCTCCGATCTGCATGTCGGAGTGCAGCCGCTGCCACGGCGGCGAGCTTTGATTCTGCAGCAGGATGCTTTGATGTGTGCAGCTCCTGGAGCTGGGAGGCTCAAATGAAATAAACTTACATTTTCATTCTGAGACTGTTCAAGCTGCTCCAGAGAGACTGAGGAAATGGGTCACGCAATCCTTTCATGTTTAGAGTTTGAGCAGATTGTTAGCTGATTTGGAATCGCATAATCCGTGGCACCGTTTTGAACCTTTGATTTAAAATGTATAAAAATAAGTGGACGTTGCCTTTGTTTTGTGGCTCCTCGCCAACCCTGCAGCATCATTCGAAGCCCGTGCTTTCGCTCCCTGCACTCTGTTCTCGTGCTGCCTGTCCGACCGTCTGTTCGGGGATTAGAGCAGATTAACATAATCTTGGTTGAGAGTAAATCCAAGGTGCGCATCACTCTCTCTGCAGAGTCAGAGCTGAACTGAGTGGAACCCACTGAGTTGGTTGGGGCAACATCCATCCATTTTCTTTACCCGTTTATTCCATTTTGGGTCACGGGGGTCGCTGGTGCCCATGTCCAGCAATCACTGTGCGAGGGGCGGGGTACACCCTGGACAGGTCGCAAGTCCATCACAGGGACACATGGAGACAAACGAGACAAACAACCATTCACTCTCTCACTCACACCTAGGGACAATTTAGAGTTACCAATCAGCCTAACATGCATGTTTTTGGTCTGTGGGAGGAAACCGGAGTACCCGGAGAAAACCCACGCATGCACGGAGAGAACATGCAAACTCAACCCAGAAGGCCCCTGGACCGGGGTTTGAACCAGGGACCTGCTCGCTGAGAGGCAGCAGCTCTACCAGTTGTGCCACCGTGCTGCCCTGGTTGGGGCAACATGTCAGCCTTTAAAACCAAAGGTGCCTTGCTAAAAGGCTCCTGGACTTAATCTCTTGTTTGTTTTGTTTTTAGTGTCTCATCTGAAACGCCAGTTCGATTAGGAGTTTCAGGTTTTATAGTTGGGGCAACATGGGGGAGTGGTGGCGCAGAGGCTAGAGAAGGTTGCCGGTTCAACTCCCCAGAGCGACAACATCAAAATGTGGGTGGGAAAGGTGAAACACCTACATATACCTGCCTCCACCGTCATTTGCCCCACTCTAGGCCCTTGAGCAAGGCCTCTAACCCCACCACCTGCTCCCCCAGGCGCCCAAGATGGCAGCTCCCTGCTCCACACAGAGAGCTGTGGTAGCTCGGTGGTCTGGGGTTGTCAGGAAGGACATCCGGTGTAAAAACAGTTACCAAGTCTTCATGCGAGTTAGTTTGCTGAAGAAGAGAGCAGCCAATAAAAAAAATAATAAAATAAAATATATATATGTACATATCCCTCCTAAGTGTTTAAACTGGCCCCAACGTTTTCAGAACTACTCCAGCCTAAAAACAGAGGAATAAATTAATTAAAAGGTAAATGCAAACAAATAATGAGACGTTTAAACATTTGTTATCTGCAGACTGAAACCAGATAATCTGAGTTTTCCCCCCGGCCATCTGTGAAATAAGATCTTGTGTTTTCTGCGTAATCTGAGCTGGACTGTGTGTCTGTCTGTGACGTAGATTCACCCAGAGAGATTACACTTTGAAAACATTCCTCGTGAATGTGCTGTCTCCTCAGCTATTCAGACGTGTAGCAACAAGCAGCACGCCTGTAAGATAATTAAAGTTTCATTCTCCTCTGAGCATCAGTAATCTGCTGGAACGTTTGTCTGTGCTGCATTAAAGCCAGAGTCAGAGATTCTTTATTGTCATTCGCACCACATGTGGTACATGTGGTGGAACGAAATTATGTACACAGGGTCCCAGTTACATCCAACAAAAAAATGTATAAGAAAAACAGTAATAACATCTAAGATATGAACTAAGAAAAACATCAACTAAATATACACTAAGCACTCATAACATAAAAACAATACGTCAAACATCAGCACGAACATGAGTCTGTGTGAGCGGATGAGCACGCATGAACACATCAACATGAAACAGATCAGCAGCAACATGATGTTTTTTTTCACAGTGATTGTTCTGGTTAGAGATTCATGAGTCTAACAGCCTCAGGGTAGAAGCTGTTCCTCAGTCTAGTGGTTCTACACTTAATGCTCCTCAACCTCCTTCCTGAGGGGAGTGGGGCAAAAAGTGTGTGTGCTGGGTGAGTGGGGTCCTTCATGATGCAGGTGGCCCTCTTCCTGCATCTGGAGGTGTAGATGTCTGTGATGGTGGGGAGACTGACTCCAACATCTTCTGTGCAGCCTTCACCACTCTCTGCAAAGCTTTTCTTTCTGCAGCTGTGCAGCCTCCATGCCACACGTTGATGCTGGAGCACAGGATGCTCTCCACTGCACACCTGTAGAAGGAGGCGAGGACTGAGCTTCCCAGACCAGCTCGCCTCAGCCGTCTGAGGAAGTAGTCTCTGATGATCTTTCTTCATCAGGCTGGTGGTGTTGTTGCTCCAGCTGAGGTTGTCATTCATGTGTACACCCAAGTACTTGTAAATGTGGAAATGCTAGTTAATGGTCTAAGATAAAAAAAAAAAAAACTTTTTATCTTATTTCTTGTCAACATTATAAAAAGTTAAAAATCTAAATGTAATGTTACAAATGTGAAGTGTAAACTAAATATTTTTCTTTATTGTGGCATCAGTTTTACATCATAAAGTTCTTTGCATGTTTTAGTCATTGAACTTTTCTTTCAAGAGCCAGAACATAAAGAAAAACTAAACAATCAAGTGTATTTTTGGCTTTTAAACAAAAGATTAATTTGGCACATGAGCCTTTTTTATGGTTCAATTATTTTAAAATAATTGGACGTTTTATTATAATTCTTTTCTTCTTCTTTCAGCTGCTCCACTTGCAGCCGGCAGTATGTTGACATGAACCAAAGAGCAGATTTAATGAAACATGCAGAAAATAATCATTGGCTGTAGATCTACAACTATCCAAGCTTTGGAGTCAACACAGTTCAAGATGGCCGCCAATGCCAATTGATCGTCAAAACACAAAAGGCTATAAGTGAGTCATTTTTGCAGATATTGAACTAAACGTGGTAGTAGCAGACAGTCATTCACAACACATGCTCAGAGCGTGACATCTTGTGATATCGCATCAGATCAGCAGAACGTTTTCATGTTGTGACCAAAACGTGTCAGCAAAATAATGCCCGAAACTCTGGCGGGCGATATGCATTCCTTCAAGGGATGTTAGGACTTTTATTGTTCTGGAAAAGATATTGTTCCATGTGGATCTTTACTGCGCTCTCGCCTTCATGACTCCTGGAATAAAAACACAAAAAACCAACTCCTTGGTTTGTTTTTCTAAACTTTTAATTTTCTTCTCATATTTTTCTTACCATAAAAATAGAAAACACCTCGTTTCCTATCACTTATGTATTTTAAATAAAAAAGAAAATACCTACTTGCTTTTTTCCTATAATGGTTGTTTAAAAAAAGGGATTTTAATGAGTTCAAACCCCGCACACATAATTACTCTAATCAAGAAGACTGTGGTTTTATTTTACACTAAACTTGACCGGAAATGATTTTTAATTCAAGACTGATGAAAGAAGATGAGCTTTAGTTGTCGCTGACAACGCTGAACTTTAAAGACCCAAAGTTTGTAGAAAAAAATGTGTTAAGTTATAATGATCACATTAAAAACTAAACAGAAGAATCAAACCAACAAATCCACGTTTAGTCAGGAGTTTTAGACGAACCAGTTTTTGGGGAACTCACGAGTGCAAAATAGCAAACTTTCACCTTTTTTTTGTTGTTGCTAAAGATGTAAAAAATATATACATAATGTTTATTTTTTAAACTAAATAATTCCAATACCAAAAAAACATCTTGAAGATTTCTTAGCATTATCAAACACCCACCGCAGCAGCAAGTTTACCACAAGAAGTGTGGATTTAACTTAAATTTAATGCCAATTAAACACATCTGGATGTAATCTGAGCACCAAGAGCAAAACTACCGTCGGCTAATAAAAATAAACAAACAGTATCAACATTTAAAGAGCTTCAGATGAACGAACCAAACACGGAGGCGTTCTTTTAGAACCTGCACAAACCAGCTGTGAAGGTAGTTCATCGTTCAAAGCACAGTGTTTATGGGAAGGCCGTAAAGTTTAGTAGACGTTAAAAATGAAGAAACGTCATTGCTTTAGCTAAATTAAAAAACAAATGCAGCGTAGTTAAATTTCAACGGTGGAGAATGGGTGCACAGCTGAGGATATAAATGCTCTGAACTTAGAAATAAATCTGTTCCTGACGTTAGCTTCATGATTTACCTCGATGTTTATGCGTGATACACTTAGTGAGATTAGATGGGCATTTCTTCACTAATCTGAAGAATGTGCAGAGTGCTGCCTGAGTCCTGTTCAGACTGAGGGGCAGTTATTGTCAGATCACAACCTCGGGGTCCGTCAGCATCATTCCTGGAGAGTGGCTCAGGAACTGGAGCGTGCTAAACCTGGATCAGGGACTAAAAACACCTTCTCCCATCCTCCTGGTTGTCAAGTATTCCACTAAAATGTCCCTTTTTTTCCGCCTAAAACCACAAAAAAAGTGTGAATATCTTGTGTGCAACATTCTTCAACAGTAACAGTGATGCGTTTATGATTTAGGGAGGGTCGGCAGGAGAAAAATATCAAAATTTCCCTTTCCACGTACACCTTCATGGGTTTGGAGTCCAAATCGTTCGGTGTGATTGTGCTGCTGTTTATTGTAAAGATGTCCACACGTCCTGGAAGCTCCATAGAAGGTCCTTACAGGCCTGAGCGGTGAGAGTTTCTGACAGCAGGCCGACACAAACCGCCGCCAGGGACAGACGTCGGCTGCAGTTCAGGATTACTGGAGATGGGATCAAACACAGACAACACCTTATAATGATTTAAAAATAAACTTGGAAGGTTTTAAATTGACAAAATGTTTAAAAATAACTCGAACTGTCATTTTGTGCTTCTTCCAACAGGCGACATTAACCGCATATCGCCAGCCTCCTTTCAGATTCAAAATGAGGTCATCTTATGAAGTTTTGGTGAAAGCTTGTAAATGACTAATTCAATCTAACGCAATATTGTGGGATTTTATATGTAGGTCCTCAGAGTATGTGTTGAGGGTGACTCTCATTAACTACCACGTCAAACCTCCACTCAGTGTCTGTAAAACTGGCTGAGTTACAGACAGTTCTGTGTTTTGTGAGGTCAAACTGCGACGACCTAGAACTGGGTCAACTCCTACAAGCCTTGTAGACCTACAGTACATCCAGTAAAATTTGTCCAGTGGTTCATGATATTTTGCTAACAGATAAACAGGGGGAAATACAAGCTTATTAAAGCTTTAATCTCCAGATTAGTTTCATGTAAGATCATCTAAAGGTTAACTTCAGCAGCAGGTGAAATGTGCATAAAACATTTGGCTGTATAATTCTGTAACTGGGATCAGTAGAACGCTCTGCCAAATAAAACTAGGTGCAGTGGCCACCTGCTGGTGTCTTTGAAGAACCAAACTTTATAACCTCTAATTATTGCTTTAGGAGTGTTGACGCAGGAGGCGACAAAGGCTGACAGGAAGTGCCTCCTACCTCGGATGGCCTGCGAGTTGGAGGTGAGCACAAAGAGCCGGATGAGGCCCAGACAGAGCGGCGCGTAGTCGTGCTCCCAGATGACGACGGGGATGAGCAGCACTTTGCCGTAGCAGGACAGCAGCAGGGCTCTGAGGAGCAGGCCGAACTCCACCGTGCCACCGCGCAGACGAGCGACCCACAGCCAAAGGAACCAGAGCGCACCGCAGCCGAACGCTGACAGCTCTGCAACATTCAACCACACACACACAAAATGAGGTGTAACCTCCTGTATGGAACCATATTAAACAATTTGCATGAGCACCAAGTATGTTCAGGAGATTTCTAGTTGGAAATTTGCTCCTTACATGAGGAAATAAATGCTTTCCCCTTAAACCTACTTACATTTAAGCAATAGTTTTGACTGAAGAGTTTTCACTATGTCATAAACAAGTAAACACACATCAGTGGTGTAGCAAAGAGCCATAACTCCAGTAAGAAAGGGTGCAGCACAAAATGCAGACGTGCTCTGCTTCTCCATAATAATACTTCCTGCCAAGTTTTATTGATTTCTATCACGTGTGTATGAGTTGAGCTGACATAAAATTAATGCAAACGGACAGATGCCATGAAATAATATGACCCTTTGAGCAGATAAAAGGTGCAAAGGCACATCTGTTTAAAGTCTAGCCCACATTCAGTTAAAGCTATAGGCTTAGCTGCCACTTTCAAATGTCTCATCCACAGAACCTGTTTTTAATTCATACGAAGGGTTTCGAGACAATGATTTATGGGTTAAAAAAGCTTTACAGTAACAACAGCCAAAAGCAATAACAATTTTTTAATTTCTCTCTGAGATCAATAAACGTATCCATCTTTCAACCAGATCAAGGTCACCTGGCTTAACAGTTTTTTTAAACAGTAAATCTGAAATTAACTGGACAATAAAAGAAGCCATCATGTTTGCTCACTTATTAAATGGTTTGTAAAGCAAAAAAATATTACCTTAAAATCATTTTTATGGTAGAAAATTATATTTTTCTGTGTTGAATAACACCCCGCCGAGTTCAAAATGTTTAGATAGTTTAGGTATTTTACGGCTTTCTAAAATGCTAAACAACATTTTGCAAAAAAAATTTAAAAAAAGGAGGTTGAATATGGAGCTTCCATGGAAGACGGAAAGAAGAAGACTACAGAGAAGGTTTGTGGACGCAGTGAAGGATATGCAGAGGGTTGGTGTGACAGAAAGATGATGAAATAAGGTGAGATGGAGGGAGATAATCCACCTAAACCGAACAGCTGAAAGAAGAAAACTAAAATGTTATAAACTGAGCAAGGGATTAATGTGTTGTGACAACTAAAATATACAGAAGTCTTATTCAAGATGCACGGTGGGACAAAAGTCCTTTTCTTTTCTAAAAACACCGGACGTTTCTTCCTACCAAGGGCAGCCAATCCAAACATGCCATAAAACTCCCACTCCTTGGTGTATCGGATTATATCAGCAGGATCGCTGCTCTGCTCGGAGCCGTGCAGCTCGGACCACCGGAGGTAGGCCTCACACAGCAGGCAGAACACGCACAGCTTCCAGTGGATCTGCAGAGGCACAAAATAACACGTTTCGAACTAAAACAGGCACCACTGCGTGTTTAAAAACAGAACGTAGACTCTCTGTTTACAATGAAAACACCAGAATGATTAAACTGATAGTTGGGCCATGTTTATTTCTGAACTTCATGACTTTTATTTTTGAATACGGGTAATTTAAACAGACTGCAGGTTGTATTGCAAATAATATATTTAGTCCTGGATTTGAAAAGTACTTGTTTACTTTTTTTTATAATATATGGTGTCATTTGAGGTCATACTAATAAACCAAAATGAACATTCTTGTTCTTTTCCCAACATTTAACATGTAGTTTTAATCAACTTATGGGCGAAGTTACACATTTGTTGCATTTTTGAACAAATAATCCAAACAGGACTTTTTTTAAAAACAAGTTAAAACAATAAAGGTTACTTACATTTAAGCTTGTGTTGAAGATGATGTGTCTAAAAGCCTGTGTTTTGCACAAGATGGCGTCAATAAGAATACAAACTGGGTCATATTCGATGTATTTATCCACTGGTTTTTCACAGGACTCCTACAAAACATACAAAACAACATCAGTAGTTGTGTTCACGTTGTAATTTGAGATTAAGAATGATTAAAATTTGCTACGTGATACTGTTTTAGAAACAAAGCACTGACTTGTTATTTAGGCGTGCTACATAAAATAATGTCGATGTGAAAAGTAATGCATTATTTCACTTCCGGTGGCTAGTTTCACTCGGACGGATAAAAAGAATAAAATAATGAACGTACACATATCGTTATCTTCAGAATCCCGTTACTGTAATCCCTGTGAAGCTCCGTCGCCTTCTCGTTGCATTCAACACACCTAAAATCAACTTCTTTACCCATTTTTTTTAAATTATTCCTAGCTAAAATGCATCATGCTAACGTTCAAAACCAAAACATTCAAACCGGAAATGATGCATCCACAGCAGCTTGACTTCAAAATAAAAGCGCACCTTTGACTTTATCTTTTCAATTGAAACTGATGCAGTAATCTATATTTTGGCCTAAAAACAGAAAATGACAGAAATATTGTCATATGAAGCATTAACATCATTTTAAAAATTAAATAGGAGTTTTAAACTATTGTCTGCCGCTGTACAACAATGCTCAATAAAGTATGTATTTTTATGAACTATTAATTAACATGAGACGAAGGGCACAATATCATTATAAACGTTACAATTTTACTTTTGTTGATACTTTCAAACAACATTAAGGGGAATAGTTTCCCTGATTATCATAAGTACATATGTTTACGTTCAACCAGGGGTGCCTCCAGAAGAAGTTATCAGATTGGGGTAACTGTTAATGTTAGGATGGCACACTAAAACCAAAATGCCATAACATAACTTCATGGGTTTTATTTTGCTGTAAGTTATTTGGGGGTCTTCTCCAGTGGGACATACTGCAGTAAGGAAGGTGTCTTGGAAACATCCTAATCAGGTGCCAGAACCACCTCAGCAGCTTACACATTTCAATGCAGAGAAGCAGCAGCTCTACTCCAAACTCCCAATGAAGCAAGGAGCAAGACTGAATCCTGTCATTTCAGCTGCTTGTATTCAGGATCTCATTCTTTCCATCATGATGTAGACCTGGTGGCCCTGTGATGGACTGGAGACCTGACCAGGATGTCCCCTGTCTCTCGCACAGTGACTGCTGAACATGAACACCAGTGACCCCCGCAACCCGAAAAGGAAGAACAGAAAAAGCTAATGGATGGCTGGATGGATGGATCCAGACCTCATGACTACAGGTGATGGATTGAGAGTTTTGCCTTTTTGAATCAACTTTTTATTCCCTGTGAAGAGACTCCATTGGCTTACGTTGATATTAATAATTCATAACGTGCATAGACAAGTAACAGTTACCTTTTAGTTCTTACAACTTACAGTGATAGACAAGTGGCTTAAATGGATAGGAAACACCAAGTGGTGTCTTTATTTGCTACACAATATTTGTTTCAAAGGACAAAAACATTAAAAAAATGATAATGTGGATGCTTGTACCTTTTTTGTTGTCATTGTGCCTGTGTTTAATTGTATTATTAGCAGTTTTGCCTATTCAAACTGTGGTCATAAGCCTGTTTCATAATAATTTTGTTGGTTGAGGAGCTAAAAGGTTTGGGGAACACTGATATAAATAAATATACGTGTCAAAAATAGCTTTATGTGTTTTACTTTGAAAGTTTCAAAGGAAGCTGTCACGTCTGTCAATATCCCGGATAAGCCTGTTTGACGGCTGCATGGCGTGTTGGGAATTGTAGTTTAAATGACGTCTGTGATTGCGGGCTTTTTACAGCTTGCTCGTGAAGGGGGCGGGGCGTGTTTGTCTTCGGTTTGCTAGCGTCCGTTGCAGCTTCCGCTCTCTGTCGTCACTCGTTACAAACATGGCCCCTGCCAGCCGGGCTGTCGCTGTAGTAGCGCTGTCGCTGCTGTGCCTGAGCGGGGAAATAGTTTCCACCGAGTACTTCTCCACGCTCACTTTGTTCAACAATGAGCTCCACAAGCAGGGATGCAGCTCGCTGTCCGAGTGGGAAGATTACGCTGCGGACTGCGGTAAAAGTCTCTCTTTTTTTACAGTCACTTTGCCTCGTCCTGCTCGGCTCTACTGTCACTGCAGCACCCGGTAGGTTAGCCTGGCTGCTAACAAGCTAACAACAACAAACCGTGACAGCCCAGAAGAGTTGACTTAAATCTGCTCTGACCGCTAACACGTCCTTCAGTTCAGTGGAAGAGGGTAGCAACACAAGGGAGTTTATAAATGAACACTGTAACATGGAGGAAACTATTTTATTTATTTTTTTTATAATCAGAGGTCTACACAAACGCATTCCTCCATAGCTAAAATTCAGCTTTTGCAACAAAAGCTTCCCTAAAATAAAATTTTCTGCTAAAAGAAGACAAGAGTTCTAATTTTCTGCTAAAAGAAGACGAGATGTAAATAACTGGAGGAAGTACCATTATATTGAACACATTGCCTCCGATCTGAGAGATAGTTAAAGAACCAACCAATGGTGTGCTCTCAGAAATTGGTTTCTCAGATCACACCATTGGTTGGTTCTCTAACTATCTCTCAGATCGGAGGCAATGTGTTCAACATAATGGTACTTCCTCCAGTTATTTAACAGTCAAAAATGGTGTACCGCAAGGCTCAGTCTTAGGACCCACCCTCTTTACAATCTACATAGGTAATGTAGGTCAGAGCATCCTTGACACATCCTTACATTTCTATGCTGATGACACAGTTGTTTATTGTCGAGCTAAAACAGTTGCTAAGGCTTTCCAGCTTTTGCAATCCGCATTTGACATCATCCAGTCGGATTTGTTCCACCTCAAACTTGTCTTAAACGCCGATAAAACTGAAAGCTAAACTGGCTTTCTTTTTCAGAAACGGATCCCGTATAACTCTGAATGCTAGGAAACGCCTTGTAACTGAGACATTATTTACATGAACGCTCCTACAAGAACCCTGCAGATGTTGGATGCTGTCTATCATGGTGCACTAAGATTCATAACTGGCTGTGATTATCGTACCCACCACTGCACCCTGTATTCACTGGTTAACTGGGCATCATTAACTTCTCACTGGTACATTTTCATTTTTAAATCACTTCTTGGTCTGCTGCCTTCATACATCTCCTCTTACATGTCTCTGCGTGAGTGCAGCTTATTATCTTATTTGTAAAAAAAAAAAAATCTGTCTTTTTATAAATGTCTATTGTCGTCGCTGTTGTCCATTGTTGTCGTCATTCTTTGTTGAAATCAGGTCTCTTGTAAATGGGTTCTTAAGGCTCAATGGGATTAACCTGTCTAAATAAAGGTACATTTTAAGAAACTGTACTTGCGTTGCGTAGCCATACTCCGATGACTCCTCAATATTTTCAGCACTGGTCAAAAGGGTCTGTGGACTCTTACGTCAATTTTGGGCTAGTTGGTGCGTGCGTGTAATAGAAGTTGGATTTATTACGCTTTGAAAGCATCTTGTGGAGTTGATCCTTTCAAAGACCCATTCAGTTTTTAAAGGTTAGTCGTGTTCTGTGGCCAACAACACTGCATATGAGCAAAGGGCCGTACCATATGACTTATCCTGAGTGCATGTCCCCAACATCCGCTGTTCTCTACCCCTTCGCTTCTTCATCTTCGTCTCAGTGGAGACTGTGCGCGTGCGTCTGATGAGGCGTATAAAAAGGACGACTGTCAACTGTCTGCAGCTCGGTTGCCTTTATTTCAAAGAGCAGTTTATATCTGATTTGATCAACGTGAACTAAACACATTTTCTGATTTCTGCCTTTTTAAGCTTCATTTTGATGCCAGATCATCCTGATGTGAGCGGATCCAGAGCTTGATTTGTCTTGCAAACTGGGAAAACCCCTGACAAACTGGTCTGAATCCTATTTTTTGCATATTCCCATGAGGATTTCTTGACGTTATTTGAAAGAGGAAACCTCGACTCATATTTGTATATTGGGATATTTCAGTTGGTATTGAAATTATCTTCTCAAGTGCTTTCAGGGAAAGTAGCAACATTTTCAAGCTTTTCTCAAAGTCATTGTTGATACTACCCAGAAACGTGCTTCAAAACAGTCTTTAGGATTATATTTTAGATATTTTATTCAGGGGACCCATAGATAAGATATTTGTTCGTCATATTTTTACTACCATATTTTTCATCATATAAGTCATAGTTTTTTGCATAAATTTGCATGCCCTGCATCTTGTGTGGCGAAGTGACATATTTGTTTTTTCTCCCCATATTTATAAAACAATTTTTGGCCGAGATCTGATGATTTCATTCATTCTGACATGGACAATATTGAACACTAACATTTTCAGCCACTAGAGGGCCCTCAAGCCACTTGTCTCATTAATAGGTAAAATGGCTATTAATGAGACACTTGGCTTGCCATACCAAGCCACCTTCGTCTCACACCTGAACTCCTGGAGCAAACGTCAAAACAGCTTCATTTCGCTGCTCCGCCCAGACGAAATGCAGCTGCTTTGACCATTAAATATTTATTAAGGAAAAGTTCAACTGAGACACACCTTTACTATAATGTCGAGCAAACACATAATTGTTTTTAGGTGGTTATCTTGTTAGATTTTGAAGAAATGCACAGCGAGTCGTCCCTCTGTGTGCTCCAGCATTTGCTAATTGGCTTTTAAAATGCAGCTGATTTGACCGTCAAAGTGCATTTATTAAGGAAAAGCTAAACTGAGACACCTTTGCTATAATTTTGAGCAAACAAACAATTGTTTTTAAGTGTTAATCTTGTTAAATTCTTGTTAAAGTCCTTCCGTGCATGCTCCCATTGCCCCCATTTGGCAGCCAATTGATTTTTGGCACAACACCGGCCCACATTTCCAGGTTGTCAACGGTGACGCATAAAAGAGGCGACGTATTTATGTTTTTTCCTACTTTACTAGACATATTTGGACAGATGTGACTTATACGGCGGCAAGTACAGTAAATCTTACTATAGGAAAATTGTCAACACATGCGCTGTCAGTGATTTAACCCTCGGTTTGATGTAATGGGTTACATAGAAGACAAAGTCAAAATGCTATTTATTGAGAATGAAAAAAAAAAAGTCAAACATTTCCCTGATTTTTATTTATTTAAATTGCATAATTGGATCGTTTTTCTGTTTACCGCCATTAGATTATTTTCTAAAACAAAGTATATAATTCATCCATCCGTTATCAAATTATTCATTATTAATGTTTGCTGTAAAACTGCACTTTTATTGTGAAACTATAATAGTTAGAAAATGCGTTAGCTACTTTAAAATACTTTATCTTGAGTTATGGATTTGGAGTTTACAATATTACATTAATATTTGTCTTGTGATGTGTTCAAAAGAAGAATCACGTTTATTAATGTTTTTAAATGCTTTGCTGCTCTGAATTGTTTGAATTAGAGCTCTTCATGTCGGTCTGTCTCTCATCACCAACATGCCTTGTTGATTTCTGTTCTCAACTTTTGAAACTCCACAAACACAACTCTAAAAACGGGTTCAGAGCTTGAAAACGAAAAATCTCCTCACTTCCTTTAAAACAAATCCCCGTGACAAACCCTTGAAACCCTTGTCTCTCCAGAGTCTTCAGTTTTACAGTTCGAGGACCCGGACTGCGAGGAGGGAAGCAACCCGCCCTGCGAGTCGGTCTTCTCGCTGAACGCAGAAAAGATCCTGGTGAGATCTCACTCGCACGCTCATCCGATCCAGAACAGCCACATCCTTAACTGTTTCCTCGCAGCTAAAACGGCACGACGAAGTGAAAACCACAAAGTTCTGCGCTGCAAAGACGTTCGAGCTACAACAGCTTGGTTCATTTTTTATTTCTTACTAATGGAGCGATTACATGGAGTGCATTCTGAGGTTAAGAGCTTCACGTTTGAATCTAATAATATAAATATGGACGACGTGGGGCTCATTAAACAGAGCGGAAATTGACCAATTACAACAAGCTGAAGAGATTTATTGACGTCTTCTGGTTTTAAGCCAGCTGGGCCTCACTTTTCTAGACATAACTGGGTGTGTTGGGTCTTTGTGTGTTTGTAGCCACACCTAGTGATAATAGAGTGTCCACACCCTGGAGTAGAGTGTGACATCATTGTTACAGGGTGACAACCATTCAGGTTCAGGAAATTCAGAACTTTAGCAAAAATAAAGCATCTGCTCAGAGTTTATGTTCATGATGTTAACAAAGCAGCTTGTGCAGCTGCTGGCTGCAGACATATGGCAGGTCTTGATACAAAAAATGCAACATTTCTGTGCAGATTTTAATACGCTCACGTTACACCACCATAATTCTCCAACTGGGATCACACGGTAAGATCAGTGGCACGCTTTCAGAAAGTTTGTAACATTTTGGTGTGGTAAAATATTCACATCACATTTGGTCATTCTTGCACATTTATTCCAAATTTATCTGCATTTGAAACTTTTGGATGTCACGTAACTGTGCTGTCTTTTGATTTTTTTCTAAACAAATTTTCTTCGTTTGGTCGTCGTGTCATTTCTGTGAGCTTCCTCTTTGTTAAAAGCTTCAAGATTTACGACATTTGCAAATCTCGTAAACCCATTTTTTAAAAATTCACGATGGAACAAAGTAAACATATCAAATGCTGTCAACAGTTTTTTTTGGCCTGTTTTTTGGTCTCATGCTGGTGAAGTGTCTGGACTACAGGCAGGCCGGTCCAGCTGCTCTGAAGCCGTGTGTGGTTTGGTTCGTCTTCTGAAATTTGCGAACCCTTCTCTGATAAAGACGTTATGGGAGCATACATTGTTCTAAAACCTGTATGAACTTTTCTACATTAATGGAGCCTTTCCACTTGAGTAAGCTGTCCATGCCAGAGGCACCAATACACCCCCATACCATCAGAGAGGCAGGTTTTACAGTTGGCTCGTAGGCTGGATGGCTCTCCTCTTTATTCTGGGGGGCATGGTGTCTCTGCTTTCCACAATGAATTTTAAATTTAGATTAGTCTGACCACAGAACGGTTCTCCACGTTGCTTCAGTGCATCACAACCATCCGATTTTCAGCTTCGTCCTTTGAGCTCAGAGATTTCTACAAATTCTTTTGATAAATGAAATGATGACAATAAAATATTCAAAGTGCTCCCAATTTTCCTTTGCAGAACATAATTTTGTAATTGTTCCAATAATTTGACATTTTTTCATAGACTGGTGATCCTCTGCCCATCTTTACTTCAGAGAGATTCAGCCTCCCTTTTTTAGCCAGTCTTCTTTCTGATCCATTTCCAGGAGCTCATCCAGCTGTTCGTTATTCATACCAGTTAGTTTACAGACTTTGTTGCCACTTTCTTAATTTATAGGGATGCACAATATTATCGGCATCGTATCGGTATCAGCCAATATTCACTGTTCGAGGGTTGTCATTGTGTAAGAGAGAGTAAATGTCATGAATAAATTTGACATTAAACATAATCCAAGTTGAAGTGTTGCATCATTTTCAGTCTCTTTTTTGGCGTCTGCATTTGGTAACAGGCCAAACTGACAAAGACCATGCAGAATAATGTCGTATTTTAATTCCACAGCAGAGAAAGCTGTGTAATCTCTGTAAGTAGGTCTACGGGGAAAAATATTGGTATTTGTATCGGTTACCGTCCAAGTAAGTTTTAACATGTTGGCGTATCGGATATCGGCCAAAAATCCAGTATCGTGCATCCCTACTAATTTATGGTTGTGATGCGTTTATCTAATTCAAAATGTACTTGTTTTTTCCTAAATAATGGTACACGGATCCTATTTTAATTATTTGACATGTTTACCATGTTCCATTATGAATTTAATATGTGACCCACCACATCAAACCAAATTAGATTTGGTCAAAATGAACTAAACGCATTTTCAGATTTCTGTCTTTTTAAGCTACATTTTGGTTCTAGATCATCCTGATATTGCGAGTGGTTCCAGAGATATGGCTTAATTTGTCTTTCTAATCAGGATAATTATTAAAAAAAAATAGCTCTGAATCCTGTTTTTAGCATATTCTAATGAGAATTTCTTGACGTCTTTTGAAAGAGGATTTACCAGCTGGAAAGAGAGAAAGAAAGAAAGAAGGTGTATCGTGCAGGGAAAGTAACCAAACTTTAGGGCTTGTCTGCTTTAAATCAACATCAGTTGCTGGTACGGCTCAGGAAAGTGCTTTAAACATTCTTCAGGATTATATTTCAGACGTTTCATTCATGGACCCATGCATTTTTTTTCAGTCAGTACGTTATAACTCTATATCTCAACATACCACTTTGCAACGTAATCCTTGTTTTGATGTGATGAGTCACATATGGGTTTGTGAGATTTGTAAATCATTGCATTTTGTTTTTATTTACTTTTTAAACCACATCCCAACTTTTTCAGAATTAGGCGTACACAAGTCAAAGTAACACGTTAAACACATTTTAAAACCTCTTAGTCACCCGGTCGGAAGGAGCAGATTTTACATTCTGTCATTGTCTGATCTGCAGAAATGTTTAGTGAGTTTTATTTACAAAATCAATACCCGTAAGAAAACTAGGGGTGCACGATATTATCGGCATGGTATCGGTATCGGCTGATATTGGCGATAAAGTTAAATATCGGACATCGGCCATTCCATCAAAATAACTCTCCATAGTGTTGCATCATTTTCAGCCCCCGCTTTAGCATCTGCATTTGGTAGTGGGCCAAATTGACAAAGACCAGGAATAATGTAGTATTTTAATTCCACAGCAGAGAAAGATATGTACTCTCTGTAAGTAGGTCTAGGGGATAAATATCGGTATCGTATATCAGCCAAAAATCCAGTATCGTGCATCCCTAAAGAAAACCATGAGCAGACGATGTTTTGAAAAGAGGTGAATAAATTTATAACGCTGTGGATGATCTGTGTACAGAAACGATTCGAGTTTTTACGTAGCAAAATGTAATAAATGAAAGTCGGCGTGGGGTGATGAGCTCTAGCGGCAGCCATCTTGAACATGGTAAATGAGAACAACAGAACAAATGGAGCTTGAAGTAAAGTCTTTACATTTAAAAGTCAGAGCGTTATCTTTAGTGTGCCGTCCTCACACAGGAAACCAATAAAAACAACTTTTTTTGTGCAAGCTCTCGTTTTCTTCTTCTTCCTGTGTTCACAGAACCAGGCCAAGTTGTTCATAGAGCAGAAAAAAATCCCCTTCCCTGCAGATAACCACAACACAAACGAGGAACTTGGTGAGCGTTTTGTTTTTATTTATCAATATTCTCGTTTATGGTTCTGAAATTCACGTTTTCTCCCTTCTATGTGGTTCCTAATGTATTTTTTCACGTGCAGCTATATGCTACGTTCTGATCGGCAACGGTCTTTACGATGAAGCCATTAAACATTTCTCACTCCTACTACAGGTACATCAAATTTTACTATCAATACATGTGTTTTTTAATTTTAAATACAGAAGTGTTACAACTTGTTGGATGCAGACCTGATTGGATTCAGAGAATAATTTCCTTAAGGTGTTTTGTCTGTGTTGCAGAGTGATCCAGAGTTAGTGAGCGCAATCTATGGAAGAGGGATAGCTTACGGGAAGAAAAGTCTTCAGGTGAGAATCCAGCTGTGCAACATCACATATTTAGATTTATTTTGTAAATGCTTATTAAGCATTCACACTATTGTTTTGCTGTTTATATTTATTATTCCTGGCTGTTACTGTCCCTATTCCGTACATTTTTTTGGCATCCTTTTTAAATTTTTTATGATTGTCTATTGTCGTCGTCGTTGTCCACTGTTGTCGTCACTCTTTGTTAAAAATTCAGGTTTCTCTTGTAAATGAGTCCCCGAGGCTCAATGGGATTAACCTGTATAAATAAAGGTTGAATTAATCTTTCTCGTCCTGCAGTTTTTCAACAAATTTCAACAAATCCTAAATCAAAACGTTCAGCTCTTTCAGGACAATCCTGCTATAACTTTTAGTTTTGGTGCAACTTTAGCTTTTTTGAAATATTTAGCCTTTTCTGCCATTTTTTTTTATTCTCATAGAAAATGAATTGAGCTCATTTTACATCCTTCAAATCTTTAGATGTGTTTACAACTTTTTACTGCTCCTTTCACATTTTGTTCTGGTTCAGCTTCTTTCAGCTAACTTCTGCTGTTTTTTTTTTTCATTCATTCAACCTTTATTTAGACAGGTTAATCCCATTGAGCCTCGGGGGACTCATTTACAAGAGAGACCTGATTTCTTTAACAAAGAGTGACGACAACAGTGGATAACAATAGACAGTTGTAAAAGAGGCATCCAATTTTAATTTTAATTTTATTTTTTTACAAATTTAAATAAATGGCAACCAAAAGGACAGTCAAAAGGAAAAAAGTAGCAACAAAAACAGCTAGATTATAAGACGGTGTTTTGTGCTCCTTTCAGATTATTTTATGCTAGCTACAACATTTTTGTGCTTCTAAATTTTCTGCTAATTTCAGCTTGTTATCAAAAACACAAAGTTTGTTTTCTCAGTCATCCAGGTATATAACACTTGTTATATACCTGGATGACTGAGAAAACAAACTTTGTGTTTTTGAAACCATTAGTGAAAAGGCCAGACTTCAGGGGTATCTGAGGCAGGCTTGAAACACAAGAGTCAGGGTGGCTTCTGGGTAATACCAGATGGCTAGGCCTCAGACTGACGAAGCCTCTTGGATGAGGGGCGAAACGTTTCTTTTTAACAAAAAAACTAAGTCCAGATGACATGATTCAACCTTTTTTGTTCAGCTTGTTATGCTCCTTTCATTTCTGCAAGTTTCAGCTTTTTTCTGCTATTTCTGCTACTATTTAGCTGGTTTATGCTGCTAATTTATCTTCATCCAGTTCCACATTTTTTGCACTCATTTCTGCTACTTTTAGCCTAATTAACTTCTTTCTGCTAATTTCATCTGTTTTTCTTCTTTCAGCTTATTTCTGGTAGTTGCAGTTATTTTAGCTACTTTCAGTTATTTCAGCTACTATTTTAACAGTTTTATGCAATTTTTAACTTTTTCAGCTATTTCCACATTTTATGTGCTCATTTCAGCTCTTTCCACTTCTTTTTGGTAGTTTAAGCTTCTTTCTGCCTTTTCGGCTATTTTTTTTTTTAAGCTAATTTCATAATTTTTGTGCTATTTCTGATTATTTAAACCTGATTTAGCAAATGTGTTCCTTCTGCTTTCTTCTGCTAATTTGGGCTTGTTCTTCATTTTCAGCTAAAACTTAGCACATTTAAAAAAAATCTAATTTCAGCTGTTTGTAAGTTCTTCAGCAATAAATATTCACACTGCATTTTAACAGTCACGGTCCACCAGTGTGGGAAGTTCTGATTTAAGGACTTAAGGACATTTAAGGACGTCCCTTTTTATTTATTTATTTATTTATTTATTGTCCTAAATTAATCTTAAATTTTGATTTAAAAACAAATGTTGCATGTGTTGTGATGCCTTTGATGTCGTTTGTCTAAAATACCTGGACGCCATCAGTTTCTGGGGTTTTATTTTTGCAACCTTTATTCTTCTTTTTTTTTTTTCACTAAACTTTATCATTTTAAACTAAATGCAACTGCTTGTTCATGTCAGGACATAAAAAATGCTGACTTGGCGTTATACGAGCTGAACAGAGTCATCGCACTCGAGCCGAACTGGCCAGAAGTTTACGAACAAAGAGCCGAGGTAAGACCCAACTCACCACGAAGCCATTATTATAACTTCATAAACATTTCCCACATTCACAACATTGTTTAGATGGCATTTAATATGTTTTAATGCCTAATGGTGTGAATGTTTATGAAGCATTCACTCTATTGTGATCCATTTTTCTTCCGTATGCTTTTCATCATCTTTCTCGTTACACAATTTTGTTCTATTTCAACAAATCGTAAATCAAAACGTTCAGCTCGTTCAGGAGAAAGATGCTATGACTTTTGGTATTGGTGCAACTTTAGCTTGTTGACATGTTTACCCTTATCTCACTTTTTTCCTTATAGAAAATGAATCGAGCTCATTTTGCATCCTTCACATCTTTAGATCTGTTTACAACCTTTTACTGCTCCTTTCACATTTTCTGGTTCAGCTTCTTTCAGCTTCCTTGTGCAAATTTAAACTTTTTTCAGCTAATTTCAGCGGGGTTTTTTTTTCCAGCTGTTTTGTTCTCTTTTCAGACTCTTTCTACTAACTATAACATTTTTGTGCTTCTTCTAACTTCTTTCTGCTGAGTTCAGCAAATTTCTGCAAGTTTCAGCTTTTTCTACTATTTCAGCTACTAGTGGCTGTTTTATGCTAATTTCAGCTTTTTTGGCTAATTCCATATTTTTTTTGTACTCATTTCAACTTTTTTCTGCATATTTCAGCAAAAATATGGTCTGCCCACTTCCATCTTGCAATTTTAGCTTCGTTCTGCCTTTTTAGCTACTTTTCAGCTGCTTTTTGCTAATTTTAGCTTTTTTTTTTTCAGATAATTTCTACCTTTTCTGTTCTCATTTAGGCTGCTTTCAGCCTAATTGGGCAAACTTGTTCTTTCTGCTTTCTTCTGCTAATTTGAGCTTATTCTAACTTTTCAGCTAACCATTTTAGCATTTTTAGCTAATTTGAGCTGTTTTCAGATAAGTAAGTATTTCATGGTAATTTCTGCTACTTTCAGCCTAATTAATTTTTTTTCTGCTAATTTCAGCTTGTTATGCTCCTTTCAGCTTTCTTCTGCTAGTTTCAGTAATTTCAGCTACTGTTTAGCTCTTTTATGCTATTTTTATCTTTTTTCAGCTAATTCCACATTTTTAAACTAATTTCAGTCCTTTCCACTTCCTTTTGGTAATTTAAGCCTCCTTCTGACATTTCAGCTACTTTTCAGCTATTTTTAGGCTATTTTCAGCTTTTATATCTAATTTAATCATTTCTGTGCTCATTTTAGCTTATTTAAACCTAATTCAGCAATTATGTGTTCTTTCTGCTTTCTTCTGCTAATTTAGGCTTGTTCTTGCTTTTCAGCAAAAATTCAGCTTTTTTTTAGCTAATTTCAGCTGTTTTTCAGCATGTTCGTCTGCAATAAGCATTCACACTGCATTTTTGCAGGTAATGCAGTTGCTCTAGTGATTAGTTTTCTTTATTTCTAATTCAGTTTTATTAGGGTTACAGCAAATACCTGCTAAATATTTTCAGATGTGCTCTGCTGACCAAGAGGAAATATA